AAACTGTGATATTACTAGAATCATGAAAGAAATGAATAGGGATCTAAATTTATTTAATTCCATATTGCTAACAATTTGTATCCAAGCCCTTATGAAGACTGCTCTTTCAACAAATACTATGGGGCTGGGGATGTGGCTCAAGCAGTAGCGTGCTCACCTGGCATGCGTGTGGCCCGGATTCAATCCTCAGCACCACATACAAACAAAGATGTTGTGTCCGCCGARAACTAAAAAATAAATATTAAAATTCTCTCTCTCTCTTAAAAAAAATACTATGCAATTCTCCTACTAAGGAGGCATGGGGACCATGAAACTTCACCATGCCTGACGGAGTTGTAGGATTTACCTAATCACACAGAAAATTAACTTGGGAGGTCCATGAGGACATAAGAACTAAAAATGAAAAGCAACCAGACAGAAATGCCCTCAGTGTTCTGCCATCAAACCTCCAGAGTCACCAGCAAAAACACCATCCTTTCATTTTAGGTACAACTCCAGAGCCCTCCTCCTGAGGCCAATTGTTCTTCCTGTGTTCTGTTTCTTGGTTCTGTCCATATTCTCTTCTCATTCTTTCTCCTGTACATCAATCTCTCCTGTCTACTGCAATTAGTGCTTACCTTTCCCCCATCCTTCATATCCAAACTTCTTCAAAGATTCCCACTTCACTTTCCTCAACATTTACCTTCACTCCATTGAAATTGTTCTGGCAAAGATCACTGAGACTTTTGCCATTGAGTCCAACCAATGGGCTGGTCAGGGGTGATGCGATATAGAGGATTCATACTTTTCATCAGGCTCCTTTTCCCAACTAACTGAATTTTTTATTTCCATGTAAATATTTTGCTTTTAAAATAATCCTTGTCATCACCTCTATATTAATATGCCCCTCTGTGATATGTACTTAATGTGTGATATTATTTATTCTGCTTGTTGTATTGTTTACTTAACATCTATCTCCTGAAGGCAGGACCAGATCTCTTGGTCATCCTTTTATCTCCAGAAATACAATCATAAGCAATTTTCTTTTCTTTTCTTTTTTTGGTGGGTGGGGGTGGGGTGGGGATAGGGTACCAGGGATTGAACCCAGGGAACTCAACTACTGAGTCACATACATAGTCCCCCTTTTTTAAAAATATTTATTTTTTAGTTTTCAGTGGACTTATTTTTATGTGGTGCTGAGGATTGAACCCAGAGCCCCACACATGCCAGGCGAGCATGTTACTGCTTGAGCCACATCCCCAGCCCCCATACCTAGCCCTTTTTATTTTTCATTTTGAGACAGGATCTCACTAAATCTTTTAGGGCCTAAGTTGCTGAGACTGACCTTGAACTTGTGATTCTTCTGCCTCAGTTAGCCTCCTGAGTCACGGGGATTACAGGTGAGCACCACCATGCCCAGCTCTTAAGCAGTTTTCAATCCTCCTCTTCCTTCAAAGTTCAGAGTAGTCAACACCATGGATCTGTCTTGAGACTCTTTCTGGGTTCCATGTCACTGTAGTCCTCTGTGACCTCTTCTTGGTGAAGCTCTTTTCTGCCAATGTTTTCTATGATGGCTTCCTCAAGTTCTGTCCCCCTTTCCTCACCATATACTGTTTATTTGAAGGATTTCATGGATGCCCATGTCCTCCATCACAACTAAAATGATGATGACCCCCTGTCTCTGGCCTTTCTCCTGAGTTCCAGATCCTGTAGATCCATAGTATCCTCAGAAATCTCTACTTAGATGACTGATGGCCTCTAGAAGTATCATATTCAAAACCAAAGTCATCTTGTTCTTTTACAAGCATTCCTTTTCCCACTATACTTATCTCAGTAAGAAGAACCACCATCTGTCCAGGAATCATTCTTGACTCCTCCTTCTTATGCTATTGATCCCCCCTCTCCTGGAAATATCTTTCTCAATAAATCACTTCTTCATCCCCAAACCACATTTATTTCTCACCTGGATTTCTACAGTGTCTATAACTAACCTCTCAATCATTTGCTAATACTCCATCTAGAGTGAGTCTTCAAAACCAAAACTGAATGTCATTGTTAGGTTTACAATACTTCATAGCTCTCCATTATCTTGTGGTTATCCAAATTCCAGTTACAGAGCCCTTATGATCTGTGATCTGTCCCCTAATAACTGCCCAGCCTCATTTTCCACATCTTCTTCCCATGATTATCCCTCCTGTGCACTTTTGGGACATGCCACTGGCTCCTGTTCTCTAGGCCTTTTGTACTTGTTGTACCTTTCACCTGGCACTCTTCTTACCCTCTCCTGCCCCACCACATCTGCTGGGCTAGCTTCTCATCCTTCAATCATCAGTTCAAAAGTCACTTTCCCACAAGGACTTCCCTTTATCCTATACTCAGTTCCTCTATTATGTGCTCCCTTGCTGTGCATTTCACCAGTCACAATGTTTATCCCGCTTTGTTGTGATGGAAGCCGTTGGTATCGATGAAATACTTCTAAGAAACAGTATATGGTAAGGAAAGAGGAACAGAACTTTGAGGAAGCCATCATAGAAAGCATAGGCAGAAGGGGGCTTCACCAAAAGAGGATACTACAGTGACATGGGACCCAAAAAGGACTTACCTCAAGGACAGACAGGACCATGATGTTGATCTATCTCCTAAAGGCAGGATGAAGGCTCTCAGTGCACTGGGTATGTGTTCAATAGATAAGAGGAAGATATGKTCTTTGACCTCAGTTACCAGCCTACCAAAAGTACAAACACTGAAAAAACTCATTAGAATACAATGATGTTAAATGCTACGATAGTCATGTCCGTATATAGATCCTGGAGGGTATACAGATGTGAATGTCTGTATGTGAAGGACCAAAGGAACTCAGTTTTCTGGGTTATTCAAGAAAGGTGACATTTGAACTGGCTTATAACTCATTCCATTCATTCAATGGAAAAGTGGATACTACTTGGTGCCAAGCACCACTGTAGGCACTGAGGATACAGCAGAAAATAAGGCAGACTGTCCCTTCCTTCTTGGATCTTATTTTAATAGGGTTATGCAGAAACAGATATTAAACAATTTCAGATAATGATACATGCCTTGAAACACTATCATTGTAAAACACTGTAGCTGCTTACCAGGATGGGAGTGGAAATGTGTGTGTATCAGATCTCCCTATATAGGTGTCATTTAATTATATCCTGAATGAGGGGATAGAGCCAGCCTTTGGAATACTTGTGGGATGAATGTTCTAGGCAGAGGGAACAATGAGACACATTGGTTCAAAGGACAGAAATAAGGCCAGTGTGGCAGAAACACAATGAGTATTTTTATMTCCAGCCTATATCTTGTCCCTGAATTCCTGAGTCACAGAGCTAACTGCCAAATGAAAATCACTACTGGGATGTCTAACAGGCATCTCGACCTTCATATGTCCAAAACTAACCTAATTTCTTCCCTTCGCCCTGCTCCTTCACACTTCAATAAGAATAATTCTATCATTTCAGTTGCTCAAGTTAAAAACCTGGGAATCATCCTTACCTCTGCCCCACAGTCAACCCATTAACAAATTTTATTGGCTCTACCTTCAAAATATATCTAGAATCTGTTTCCCACCACTTCCACTGCTACTACCCTAGTCAGTGCTAAAGCTTTGGATAGTATTCTTTGTACAAAGTGGAATCACTGAAGGTTTCTAGCACTGAGAAGAAACAAGTGGTTCTAGTGATATGTCAGAGTTAGCTCAATTAGCTCACATGAGCCAAGTGGTAAATTTTTGCAAATGTTGCAAGATGGATTATATCACATTGATAGGAGGGAATATTTATACCACAGATATTGATTGGCAAAAGCTGCAAATCAGAGCTTCTCGCCAATTTGGGGATATGCGTATTMAACACTTGCCAGCACCCAATTGCCTGTGCAAATCTTTATTACAGAAAAATAACTGATTTGTGCCATGTGGTTCTCTACAGGTATGTATGTTTTTGACTGTATTAGAATCACCTGAACTTTTTCTACCATATAGCTGCTTGACTGCCTACCTGCCTGTCTCCACTCAGTTAAGGACTACCAGATTAGAACTGCATGTTAAGAGGTTACTGATAGTGATGCAGATGAGAAATGAAGACACCAATCATAAGAAAGGAGAATTTTAGAAATACCTAGTTAAAATCATGAATGGGCTTTGTCATTCACTCTGAGAGAACTAGATTCCTTTCTTTCATCTTGGTTCTTAGTAATTACAGACACCAGCACACAATTGCCTGTGAAAATCAAAAGACTCTGATTCTTTTGTTAGCCATCTGTCTTCCTCTCTAGATGGTGCATTACTGAAGGTCACTAAATCTTCACATCTGAGACCAATGCCTCAACACCCAACTATAAGACCTTCATAAAGAGATGTTAAATGAAGAATGCAGAACAATGAAGCCAAGTGAATTGGCACATGTCTGGATTCCCAGCGATTTGTAGGCTAGGAAGGAAGATTGCAAGTTCAAGTAGCCTTCAGTTCAACTAGCCTCAGCAACTTAGCAACATCCTGTCTCAAAAATTAAAAACAAAAAGGACTACGGATGTAGCTCAGTGGTAAAGTGCCCCT